TTAGAACATGTTCCTTCTCCTTCTATTTTTTGGAAGAGTTTAAGAAAGATTGGTGCCATTTCTAGAAATGTATGGTAGAATTCTCCAGTGAAGACATCTGGTCCATTTTTTTTTTTAATTGAGAGGTTTCTGGTTACTGATTCAACTTCTTCACTTGTTATGGCGTCTACTGAGATTTTCTATTTCTTCTTGAGTCAATTTAGGCAATTTATGTGTTTCAAGGAATTTGACCATTTCATCTATCTAATTTGTTGGCACACAACTGTTCATAGTATTCTTTTATAATCCTTTTTATTTCTGTAGTGTTGGTTGTAATAGTCCTACTTTAATTTCTGATTTTAGTTATTTGCATCTTCTATTTTTGTTTGTTAGTTTAGATAACAGTTTGTTGACTTTATGGACGTTTACAAAATTTTCTAATTTCATTGATTCTCTGTTTTTCTAGTCTCTATTTCACGTATTTCTGCTTTGATCTTTGTTACTTCCTTCCTTCTGGTAGCTCTGGGCTTAGTCTGCTCTTTTTCTAGTTCCTTAACCTGTAAAGTTGGGTTACAGATTTCAGATCTTTCTTGTTTTTAAATGTTGATAATTACCATTATAAATTTCTCTCTGAGGTGATGCCTTCAACTGCATCCCATAAAGTTTTGGTACGTTATACTTTCATTTTCATTTGACTTTAAGCATTTTCTGATTTTCTTTTGATTTCTTCCTTGACCTACTGAAGAAATCAAGAAATAAAATAGCATGTGGTTTAAGTTCCACATATTTATGAATTTTCCAGTTTTCCTTCTTTTATCAAATTCTACTTTCATTCCACTGTGGTCAAAAAAGATATCTTTTAAATTTACTGAGACTCTTTTCTGTCTTAGCATGTGGTCTATTCTGCTGAATAATCCATGTGCATATATGTATTGTACTTACGTTATTGGTTAGTGTTTTATACATGTCTGTTAGGTCTAGCTGATTGTTCTAGTTACCTAGTGCCACTCTGACAAGAATATACCACAAATGGGATGGCCTTAACAAACAGGAGTTTATTCTCTTACAGTTTGGAGGTAGAAGTCCGAGTTCAAAGTGCCAGGCTCTAGGGGCT